GTATTTTGCCACAGGGTTTTGCCTGGAACTAATGTCGGTGTAATTTCAAGCATTTCTCTTTGCTCGCAGTACACAAAGGCCAAATGATAAAACTTTGTTCACCTAACCCTGTTGTCTTTAACAATGGGTTCATGGCGTCGGAACAGGGTGCAAATTATCCGGTATCATTTGGTCGTATCATACTCACGTGACCAAAATCCCCGATGGTTGAATGAACAATAATTTTACCTTGCCAATGTAATATAGACTAGTAATGTTGTCATTCAAATATCTGCATTCTTCAGTAAGTCTTTCAAATTTATTCTATCATTAAAAGCCTTCCAGCTTGAGACCAGGCTGAAATTGAACTGTTTATGAACTTTGTTTTATCATCAGGTTTAATATTAAAGATATGATACGGAATCAAATCAATTGGAATTACAAAACTTGGTGTCCAAACACCAGCAAGATTGATCTTTAAATATTTTTGAATCCTTAAAATTATTAAGTTTTTATTCAAATGCCTATTCAATACATAATAAAAACATTTCTAAAATAATAGAGGAAAATATGTTTTTTTATCATGATTGTGGTGTTTAACTAAGTCAAGTTGAACATTTTTTATACTTAGTATATTCCCAACAATGTTATGTAGATAAAAAAATGACATTAAGAGTAAATAAATAAAATAAGTTATATGTCTTTAATAAAAAAACAATTATTATATATATTATTATTATTTCTTTGAACGCATGAAAATGAACACAAACAAAAATGTATAAAGTATTTAAATATTTAATGTTTTATTCATAATTTGATGTCTACAAATTAATTATAAAAATTAAAACATAGTTGTCCTTAAGGAAGTGAAGATTTTTGCATAGAAATTATAATATTTAATGAAAAAAATAAAATTACATACATGAACCAAAAATTAATAAATTATACAGGTTAATTTAACATTTTTTTTTTCAAAATTGAATAATGGCTGTCATTCATTCAATTTTGAACTTAGAGCCAAGTATTTTAAGTCAAATCGACTTGTGCTAATCATGTGCTGAAAATAGGTGTTACCATTAAAAAATAAGTACATTTTGTATTCATTTATTTTTCGGTCGGGTAAACTTGTAAGTGTTAAACATTTGAAAATTTCACAAAATATGACGTATTTCACTACCTTCTAGGTTAACCTCCAAATCCATTTCAATACAAGTTCATTCGGCCGAAATAATTAGTGTTACCTTAAATCGTGATCACACTTTACTTCGCAAATTAATAATAGTAAAGACTATATCTACATTATTCCTGATAAAAAACCTGTTATAAACATTTTTAAAGACTTAAATTACTATTGAATGTTGATTATCTATGTACAGTCTTATATTTTATTAGTATGTTACTATACTTAACAATATTCATTTATTTCATTAATATAATCATGTGGTTATCGTTCTATGACATTTTCAATAGATTTGTTATAATATAATTCGTAGTGAGGATTGTTCAACTTTCAAAAATTGTAATACATGTGTATAGTCTTTGCAATGTTTATTTATTACTAAGTTTAAATTAAAAATGCTATATGTTTATTCAACATATTTTCAAAACTTTAACTTATTGAAAAAATGTATTTATATGACCACTTGAATAATAAAATTCGTCCCAATGACACTATAATAAATTGAGCTCCTTTTTGTATAATTTTTCAACATTTTTATTGCTTTTAAATGTACCTGTGGGTAGTGATATATATTATTGGTTTGTTCTGAAATGAGCAAAGGAAAATTGGTATCTGTCAAACTTTTTTCGACGATGTTCTAAAATCTATAAACAACTACACACTTCAATCAATGTAGAAGTCAATAGTCATATTATTGAAAACATTTTTATAATAGGGTTTAAGCTCTAAAGTGTGCCTAAATAATTGCAAAAAAAGAAGGACGCTTATTATTAAAAAAGAAATTTAGCTTTAAATAAACTATTCTTTTTTATATTCATGTTCTACAGCTGTAGCTATACATATAATAGTTTTTAAGTAGTGCTAAATTACAATAATTAGTATGATTTTTATGAATATGTTATAATACAAATGATTATTTTATCAAATTGACATCATGGAATTTATTATGAAATATATAAATATAATGTTTTTTTTTATGAAGGGTCAGATTATGAATGGATTTTTATTTTGTCATAAAATTGTAATTAATAATCTTACATAATGTGTATGCACAAAAAAAAATTAACTTGTAGTATGATTTGAATCAGTTGTATGAACGTACTTAAAGCAACAATATACTACGAATGTTTTATACACGAGACTATTATAATATAGGTATTATTTGATCAAACATTTCTTTATTCCATGTAGATAAATTATTTTATTTATTTAAATATTTACATGATTTATATCTGTTTATTATTATTAAAAAAATAAAAGTTGTAGTTAAGTTTAAATGGTTGCAAGACAAATGTCATATGTGTAATAATGTAATTATATATAATATGCACGACGCACATATCTATAAATAAAAATATAAGCTATAGCTTTAAGCTGAATTCGAAATACAAGTTTAGAACATAGTTTGTAATACTTTTTATGTATAGCTTAAAACTAATATTCTTTGATTTACTATTCAATACAACTTTTGATCATATTTTTTATTTGACAAAAGTACAATATGTATTTTGTTTCGTTTTATATTTTTGTATACTTTAGGTGTAATAAATGCATTTTCTGAAATCACTTAAGATATAAAAAATACCCTTTCGATAAAAAGTAAAGTATAAAATTTAAATATTTTATTTTTTTTAATAAGAACGCATTTATTGTTATTTTGATTCTTTAATTTTTTTGTTCTGTTGAATTGTATTTTTTTATTAATCAACTAAAATATGTAAGAAATTATTTAAAAGTTGGACATTATAAAACCATTATACAATTATACGATTTAAAAAATAAAATATAGAATCATTAATATTAATGAACGGAATCATTTATCATATCATACGACTCATATGTCATTTTTATTGACTACCGAGAGTAGATATTAGATTGTTTTTATCAAAGTGAGCAAAATACAAAATAGAAAACAATAGTTACACAATAAAATCAATAATAGCTTGTCCGTTGATACTATTGTTATGATATATATCTATATATAGAGAGATAGAGAGAGAGACACATAGAAATAATAGGTACCTGTCGTACTGGTTTGACGATTGTGATTGAAATCACCTGAAGCGACGTTTACAATCTATCGTTTTGTTTTTCTCGGGGAAATATTCGTGTTGGTACAATTCGTTGTTAAGACAAATAAGATCCCACAGGACTAAGTTTTAAGGTGGATAGAGAAAACTAAAAACAAGATGTACCTTTCAGCATAATCAAGAATAAAACATTATATGAGAATATCAATGAAAGAAAATAGGAGAAAAAGAAGTCTGTAGTAGTATAAAATCTATGTTGCCAATTTGACAATGCCAAACATAAACAATGTGCCAAATAGTGTAGAAATTGATGGATTGCTTCAAAACGGGAGATCTTGAGTTATATTTTTTCAATTTATATTTTTCATGACACCATTCTATAACTGTAATAACTATAATTGTGATCTATCACATTTTGATAAATGCTTGGTAAAATCACAATTATTTTGAGAATAAAAAATACAATACATTTCAATCTTATACTTAAAATGAAAATGAATAAAAACAATATCAAATAATAAAAATAAGTAGAATTTATTAATTATTTTGAATAATATTATGACCAGGCACTTTCAAATTAAATTTATTCGGTGTATAAACATCAGAGTATGCATCCGTAATACTTTGTAGAGGCATAATTTATAAACTGTATGCGAATTTTCTTATCATGGTATAACTATACCAGTTTTGTTTCATTTTTGTAATATAATATAATTTAATATAACATAATAGATTTATAAAATATAAATAAACTACTAAGAACATAGAAGATTATATTAAACGGTTAAAATACATCTCACCTGTAAAGTATTATATATATATTAAAAAATATAAAAATATATGATCTGTAGGTTTTTATATAGTAGTTAATGAACGATTTATTTATTAAATAATAGATATTCTGAACATATTACATTATTTGTATTTTAAAATAAGATAGGAATTTTTCGAAATTAGTCAAATAAAAAATTTAATATATTTACATGAAATATAAAAAAAACGTTTAGTCAAATATATAAATCTCCAACTATTGTATGTATAGTTTAAATATGGTTAAACACGCAATAGATATTATTTTTTAAATATTGACAAACTGCAATTTCAAAGTAGCTCTTAGATTTTTTTAATATTTTGAACATAACACAAAATACTTTTATCTTATTTCTTTCTTCACTAAACTTCTTATGTTATACCGTGAGAACAAACTACATCTGGTAGCTTCCTTGTAACTTTTAACTTTCTCGAACAGTAACATGCGCTTTTGTACATAATGGATGTATGACAAATACTTATAGTTACCCTCTCTAGTCTGACCTTTCCTACCATCGATTTAGTTAGTAATAATGGTTTCAATATAAATAATATCGTAATCTACCGATTATTAACCTCACACTAATCATGTATAATAAATCAGTGATGGACTTTAGTCACAATGTATGTGGCTGATAAAATTATCAGAATTTCAGAAATATTAAATCACACCTTAAAAGTATTCATTATAACTATTATCATTTTATTTCTACTCCTTATTGAACAATAATATTGTTTTAAAAATATTTTTTTATGTTGAAAAATACAAAACTTTTTTATAATTACATGTTTATTGAGAAGGATATAATTTCATGATCTTGTCACATAATTCAGCCGTGAACATCAACCTTAAATACATAATATTTTGTTATTTTTTTTTCTTCTAAAATATGTTTTTTGGGATTTTGTTCATATTCTCTATGTACAGGTACATACTCCTGTGATATAGTATAATTGTTAACTATTTATTTCAATGTAGATGTTTTGTTCGTTTGTTTCAGATTCAACGAGAACAGATTTAAAACAGAGCATTGACGGTTTATCAGGTAATTGAAATTATTTTATCATTTTTAATTGTATTTATCTATACATATACCATAACAATTATTAACACAAAATAAAATATCGTCAAAGATTTAAAATTGTTATCTGGCTTGTTATATTGGAAGGGTAGCTTATTATTTTATTGACTAAAACTTGTTTAACCGCTAAGTATCATTAAACTGTGTTTACTATACAATGTACTACTTAAATAAAAGGAAAATTGTGTACTTGAATTCCCAAGTGTGTATGACGTATCTTACTTAATTAGGGTGTAAACTGTTAAGTCTGGTGATGGATGGAGGTGTTGTCTAGTAATGAAGATAGTAGTACAGAAAAACGGTTTAATAAATTAAACGTTAGGCATACAGAAAGGCGTACAAGGAAAAAAACCGTTATCGTAATTCGTAATTAACTAGTAAAAAAAGAGGGGTAGCCGTAACAACGGAATAAATGCAAAACGACCGTTTACGTGGTGACAATAGTTAAAATAATAAAACAAAAGCTATAATAATTTTTATTGTTGTTATATGGTATTCCCATATTTCCTTAAGAAAAAATATTGAAGTATATCTGGTCGAGAGCTTAAATTATAAATATTAGTGATAAAAAATGCTTCGGCTATTCGATCAATCAATATCAGGATAGAAAGTGGTTCTTATAATAGAAATATATTGAATCATAACTCAAGTATCAAATGCTTAAGACATAATAATATATTTGCATATGTAAAGAACTATAGATACTAAGCTTGTTATACTTAAGTAGATATATTAAACATGTATTAAGTATATAAGTACCCATCATGTATAATACCTACATATTAATTCGAATCTTTTGTTTTCATTTATTGTTAAAATCTAGATATTAAACCTAAAAGGAAATCTTAATAATACAAAATAACGTTTTCATAATTTCGGTAGGTTGTAAATGATAGATAGTCTTCAATGTAGGTATAATTAGTGCATTCATGGTCGATGTTTCATCGTTGGCTATGCATGCTTAACTTAATATTATGTGAACAATTTTATTATTTTCTATTCTTATTCTTAAAATGTTGCCTTGTTATCATACGTTTTTTTAACGTCCTTATAACATTGAATTTGTAAGCAAGTTTTTTTGACGAATATTTTTTATGAGTAAAAATATTTATTACATTTTTTGTAGCATTTATATTTATTATAATGTATTAAAAATTAAATTCAGATTATGCATTGTGTTGTAATCAGGTAAATTTTGTACTGTAATATTATTATCAAGGTTGGAAAAAAATCTGATAAATTAGTGGTCAGAAAGTTAATACTTGTTTTTAACAAAATATTAATAACTGTTAGTAAACAATCGTTTTGTAAATACTTCAAACAGTGAGAAGGATTCTACTTGTTTTTGAAGAATTGATTTTTTTAGTTTTCTCAGAGTGCTTTAATAGAGAGCACGTGTCATAATTTTAATAATATTTTATATACTGCAGTGATACCACCAACCATTGATAAATAAAATATTTACTTGTTAGGTGACTTAGTATGGTTCAATGTACGCAAATTAAATTTCAAGTTGTCACTATAGTAGTAATGGGTAAACCCTTTATGGCCGGTTCAATAGTTATTAGCAACATTTCGGTTTTTTGTCGAAAGTTATTTAGCTAACATGATGTTTTTCTGGTCGGAAAACGTTTACGGATTTGCAATATGTCTTGCATGCATTTTGTTAAAAACAGTCACGTATGCTCGAAGTCAGGAGATAGAAAAAAAAATAGAAAAAAAAAATCGCCGAAAAAGCGTAAAAAACGTCCAAATGGAGTGCGTGAAAAAAATGTAATATACCTACGGCAAAGCAATTTGTAAGATCCAAAATGCAAGATAACAGACTGATTTTAGATTTAACTGTGTTGTGGCGCTGCACTATTTTGTTATGACAGTCGATAGAACCCAATGTTGAACATGAATTATCCGTCCCACTATTCCTCAACCCCAGCGAATGAGGCTTAACTATATTATTGGTTTTCACACCACATGTCCATAATAATAATATATTTATTTCAACTGATAATATATCTCAATGTGCTGACCAAAAAAACCATGACCATGAATAAACTCTATTTTGATTTTTAATGGAAAACAAAAACATAACTCACTCTTAATTCGTGTTGGGTAATGAAAAGTAAATTTATAATGTAATGTCTATTTAGCAATTGGCAATCTCATTGCATCAAGTATTTATGTTTTGTTTATTATATTGACTAAACACCAATCATCTTCATGAAACAACTATTGAAATAATTATTATGTTAAACAAATCTACCAAACGAATGTAGGCGTGTTTAAAATTGTCTCGCTCTGTGGTTTATATGCAACCACCCTATTTGTATGACTATCAATTATCGAAAATGAAAATTTATTTTACAAGTGTAATGTAATGAAGTGGGAAATAAATTCAATAAAAAAAAGAAACAAGTCATATTATAAAAAACGTGATCACGCTCTCCGAACATAATGTACCTATAAATTATTCGAAGAATTTCTAATATAATGCTTTTCTTTTAGGATATATATATTGTTATAATAAATATACATTTTTATATGAATTAATCGCTTGTATTATTCCGCTGAAATGAACAATTATTTAGTTACATATTATATTATATTATATTATAATTGATGGTGTTATAATAATTCTGTTTGCCATATTTTTGATTTTAAATTCATCACACAAGCACCTCCAAGAACCGAACGATAATCTATTTACGTACAAATATATTTTTTGGATATGATATATGATATTGCCTAACCGTATGTGAGGGGGGGAGGGGGTTTCAAGTAATTTGTTCACTAAAAACACAATTTATCACAAAAATACACATGGAAATTGAACGTTATCACTTGGTGTTCACGAGTGCGCAATAAATTTCATCAGTGAGAATGTTATCAGAAAATTGGACCAGGTTTTCCCAAGCGTTTCACACACATACCGTCGAGAGTGCGTGCGTGTTGTGTGAGCGTGTGTGAGTATGTGCGTGTGCGAGTGTGTGAGTGTATTATGTGTGTAATGTGTATGTACATTGTACAGTGACTGGGAAAAAACATTTTTGTGTAAGAGGTGTAAAATTAGTTGAGTTTATCTGTAACCAACAGCACAGTCTTTTTTTGTGGCTACATAATATAGAGTCCTGCTTTTGAATACAATCTCTTATTATTCTACGCCACGTACGCTGCAGTGAAAATAAAATTACATAACCTCGCTCAAAATATCAAATCTAACTTTTTGAATCGTGCTTATACCAAGTTGGTAGGTACCTATATAGTCGGTTTTATACTTTGATAACGACACTTTGAATAAAATATAATCTATCAAAATTATATTCCAGTAAAGCGTGTGTATACCATCACAATATATAAACTTAGCTTTATTTTTGAAATTAATACGAAAAATGTGACTCTGATATTACTATCAACTTAAAAAAAAAATGATCTATAATGATGCTTTAATAATGCACAAATATTTCGTAAATTCGTTTCACTACAATTCCAACATAGTTCGATACCTTGATACCTTTTACTATTGAACAAAATACTAGTGCCTATATGGCTATATGCCTATATATAGATTTATAAAATGTTAGGTATTTGCAATATTTTTAATAAAAATTTAAAACTACCAATTAAAAGCTAAAAATCTTAATTGTTGGTTATATTAGCATGCATAATATGATGCATGCAATGTTAATATTATTATTGTAGGTATTTTGAAGAAAAACATATTTTATTTGTTTTTAATTTTCATTAACATTTTAAATTAGTCTCAAGTTTATTCTACTACATTTAGTTTATGATTGTTTCATAATTAAGTGTAGGCAAACGCAAAACGATTAAATAGAATGTTTAATAATTAATTTGGAATTAGCGCAAATAAATAATTAACTCAACAGTTTTAATTTATATGCATAGCAATTAAATACAATTTATTTATTCAATGAGACGGTAGGTTTTTAGAAATAATATTTATTTTTGTACACATTTTACATAAACGTATTCTGATATTAATTCACAGCATTTTCACAATACTTATGCTCTCTTATTTTAAAATGTATTATTTTTTATAATTTTATTATTGTTATATTTTTAATTCAGAATGTTATATTTTAAGCTAGTATTTTTATTTAGGAAAGTATGTTTAGCATATTGCTTCAATTTATTTGTCTGTAATCAAAATATTATATGATGGCTATTGAACATTTTTTTATTTCCAAAAACAAGGAAACCAGTAATGTCAACTTTGGTTGGATATTGAGATAAAAATGTATTCTCATATTTCTTTTTATACCAACATTTTCATTTATATTATACACATAAATCTCATTCTTTCTAGCTCGTTCTTTTACAATAAGAGCTAAGAAAACATCCTATTTAAATAACCATTCGCTAAGAAAACATAAGACTAAAAAGTTTTTCCCGGTGAATGTCAGAAGTTTGTAAAAATGGATAATAAAATAGCGTACAACAAAAGTCGGGAAACGTACGAATCTCATCCGTCAGAAAGTTTAAGGATTTTTCATGGTCACATTACGACTTTTCCGTGTTACCGATGTATTTTCTGCTTCCTTGCCACCTTTTTAATTGAATAATGTTGCGATTGATTTAATTTATTCACTTTATTTTGTTTAGTAATAATCTTTTTTGTAGCCTAAGAAATCCGATGACCCATAACAATGAAATAGTTTAATTCTGACTTTAAAATATTAATCCCAGTCAATATTCAGATTGATTAAAAATAAAACAAGATTAGACTGTGTATTTGAGTGGAGTATATTATGAAAGGTAAATTTTGTGTTTTGTAAAAAAAAGTTACTATATTAATAATATTATTATAATATAAATAGTCAATAATAAAGCCTGCAATGGAAAACGCTTTATTGATCATGTATTTTTAATAAAACATATAATATAATATAAGTATTATGATATTTATAATCGAATGATAGGTACCACTAACATAGTTTGAGTTTTCT